CCCCCCCGACCATCCACAGCTGAGGTACCACTGCACCATGGGGCATGTTGAACCGAAGTCCTGAGATATATGATATATACCCTACCACAGCCTACAATGAGGTATCAGTAACAACCAAGATAATTTGATGTTAAGGATTAGGTTGGGTTATGTTGAGAAATTTTATGACCGGAGCGCCGCGCCAAGGACAGGTTTGTGGGTCGAGCGCTGTTTAAATGAAGGACTAAGAGCTACAGTTAGGTCGTTCTGGTGTAATGCTCTATAGATAAACTGAATATTTTTTATGTTGGGAATCCAATGCATTAATAAATATGTTTCAACTTGTAATGTAGCTTGTAACTTGTAACCGTTTTAAGATTCATATTTACTGCTGTTGTTTAAATATCTTGTAGAATTACTTTTCGAGTCTGTTTTTATTTGGCAATTTTTACAAGATTTAAGACAAAGGAAACTTTCGGAGTGGCTCATTGGAATTGTAACAAAAAATTCAGAAATAACATTAAACACAGGAAAATATTGAGTGTCCAAGGATTTAGTCTCCCAGCATTAAAACAAATATATTTACCTTTCAGTAGTTTTTGCTTGTTTCCGTATGGCCATAGTACATTGACCGGTAATTCCTCTGGCTTGTAAACTTAGCTTGTCTTTTAATCCAAGAGGAAGATATTCTAGATAAAATAAATACTTAAAAAACAAAAAAATAGTGTTTGTTATCTTGGCACCATCCTCTCTTGATATCCCCCCCCCCCCCATCCATAAATATCAACCAAAAATTATGCTCTCAAAACCTAAATCTGAATTTTTGTAAAAAGAGGTATTATCAAAAATTTCCTTATCTCTGAATGGTTCATCAAGTTCCGAGCATACAAAAATTTGATGCGAAAAAGAGAACACAGATGATTTTAAACCTCTTCTAAAAGAAATGTTAATGACCTTAATCCGGAAACTTGATCCATGATCCGCATCAAACATGAAATGGATCCTAAGCACTGATTCCAAGTTAGGTTAAGTATAGAAAGATCGTCACGGTAGGTTGCTCCTTTTCAAAAGGAAGAGGGGGGAGGGATACCATATAACTTGTTTATTGGTTTAAGACTAACCTTTGGTGTGTTGAATAAGTTTATTTGCTAGAGCTATATATATCTCAGCTTCCATACTGGTCCGAGGAGGGAGAACACTGTCAGGAGAAGGTAAAACTAAATATCAAGAACACAATTTAATGAATTCGAGAGGTCGATGAACTACCTACTACAGGTTCAAATATTTAACTTTAAATCAGTGATTCAAATTTGAACCAGCAGTAGGAGTTCAAATTCATCAAATACGGGCCTAGCATCCTGCTGAAAATGGACCATCAGGTTTCAAGTCAAAACACCTAAACTTTTTCTTTGGATTATGTATATATGCAGACTACTGAGTTATATTCTCAATTTTCAGAAAATGCCACCTAGGGAATATTGAGCAAATCAATTTTTAAGAAATTAAACAAAAATTTCATTTTAAGACTTTAATCTGCTTCTTCTGGGTTTTTTGACGATATTTTTTGACGATATTTTTTTAACAGTATATGACATGGTCTCCAAATTTTTTCATTTTTCTTTCACAGTCATGAAACTTAAAGTAGCAAAAAATCATACCCCTAAGTCAACTGCCTGACTATCAAAATTCGTCCGAAAAAGTTTTTTTGATGTAATTTTCACTGATTTTACTTCAAAAAGTCTTTTTTTTTTTTGCAGTAATTGGGCAATTATACAGTTCACTTAAGATTTTTTTGCTAAAACATGTCTTATGACTGTTAAATTTTTTTTTTCCAGCAAGGAAAATTCACAAAATTTGGGGACCCTGCCATAAATGGTTCTAAAAATATCGCAAAATAACACAGAATAATCTTGATTTATCTTTGAACCTAGAGTTACGATTGAGTTTAGACTTAAAAATGCACTTGATTTCTACAATTTCTTTAAAATGGATTAAATTAAAATTCCTTAGGTGGCATTTTCTGAAAATATAGATTACTAGGCTTTTATCATTCATAAACCTTCCCTGTGGTCACGTGATGTCCCACAAAAAATTTGGACCCATCGGTTCAGCCGTTTTGGCGTTTATTGGATACAAACAAACAGACTAACAGACAGACAAGCCAAATTTATATATAGATAACTCAGAAGCCTGCATAATAATACATTCCGAAAAAAAAATTAGGTGTTTTGACTTGAATCCTGATGGTTCATTTTCAGCAGTGTGCCAGGAGAAAATAAGTTAAATATAATGCTTTCTTTCTTTTTCTAATCATTTCACAGTTCACAGTTTACACTAATAATGTCATTCATTATATACTAGAAGTAAAATTATTTTTGATTTTACACTAAATTTTGTCGCCCACTTTGTTTAGACCCAAAAATGATATCCATCAGAACAATTCATTCCCCCCCCCTCTCACTCCACAAAAACCCTTCAACCCCGATTTTCAACAAAATATGTACCCCCTGCTATTATTTGAATATACCCAGAGGTAAAGCGCAAATAGTAAAAGAAATTGAGAGTCTAAACATTATCTACCCTCTGTCAGATTCTAAACTGTACTGAACCGGAAGTTTTATATGGAAACTTGAAAGGTTTTGCACTGAAAAGAGTATTTGCCCGATTTACAACGGTACCATTTAAACCTTTATTTGAGTAGCAATGAGAAAGATCGCTTTTTCTGTGATAATCTATTCTTTAAAAATATAAATAGAAAACCAACAATTGAAAAGCAAAGGTTTAGAGGGTACTGCTGTGAATCGTACATAATTGGTGTATAAAATTACGCTGACCGTCCCTAAAAGTTTAAACCAACCTCCACGGGAAGCTGATAATCCAGGATCCGGTTTGAACTTGTTCTCGGTCAAGGTTCCGTTAAACTTGTTCATCCCAAAGTTTTCCTTGGCATTGTGTGGAGGAATTCCTGAACCACCATTCTCTATAGACCAGGGGGCTTTACCAGCAGGCCAGGGGTACAGGGCATCACTTCTTATAGTCCGGATCAGAAAACTCAACTCTTTCTAAAAATTTAGTGTGTAAAAATATGTTAACAGAGCAGAAAACTCTGGTTTTAAACCCGTTCGATTAATTTTGATATCAACGGTGGACACTTTAGATTTTCTTCTTGATCCTCTCTTTTGGACATTCCTACTGGATTCCGAACAATTAGAATGAGAGTTCTGTCATTTGTTGCACGCTAAATTTTCCGGCTTCCGATTGGCTGTTCTGTTTCTGAATTTTAGACACTTTCCTTGATATCAAATGTAGATTAAATTAATCTGCAGACTAACAAAAAAGAAGATCAAGCAATGATCACCGTATCCACAATAAAAGAGTATTCAGCTTCGTCTGAGTAATAAATAGAAAGTTGAGAAAGTTCAATAAATAATTGAAGAAAACCAAATGATGAATAATAAAACTGTACAAATGATATGGTTGAATTCTAGGGTTAATAAAAAGATTAAATTAATTAGTGAATTAACTAACAAAGTAAGGGAGGTAAAATAAATACATTTTTATTTATGTGAACGAAGACGGACAAGGGGGCAGGGGCAGTGTCACGCCCGAGACACTTGAAAGTGAGCCCCATCCACTATCCATTGGCTGGTTATTTTTAATTAGATCGACAAATAAAAAATAAATGATTAGAAACACCTACATTGTTCTCAGCATGTGCTGCCGCGTACTCTAGACATTCTTTCTAAACATAAAAGATAGATTAGAACTATTTTTTACAATTATCAATTTTCTTTTCATCATTTAACTGAAAAAAAATATGTTAATGTGATAATGTTGTCAATATTATCAATATTATAATAACATCAGAGTTCAAAACTTTTGTATCTTTTAACTGTTCATAATCCGCTCAGTCGGTTTCCATTCCCTATGGCGCGTCAAATAAAATTTTTCAAATCTTCTGGAATTGAAGTTTTATTCATCAATTTAAAAGATTACCCTCTAGATAACAAGTTATATCACATAGTAGCCATTTCCGAGCTATTCCGAAAATCTTGTTAAAAAATTAGGAAAAACAAACCGAAAATTAACAAATTTAAGAACATTTTTTCAAGTCTCAAAAAATTGAAGAAAAGTTAGTTTTTCATTTGGACTGTGTCACCATGCGCTTAACTTTCAGTAACCGTCTATTTTATGAATTGCCCGATTCACCATGGTGCCCTTTAAATCCGTGTATGCTACATACATCAGCAAGTAATATTAAGAGAGAAATTACAATTGAACTTATCAATATTCAGATATTATATATATATATATTATCAATATTCAGATAGAAAAAAGAATATTTTCAACAGTTTAGCTCAGACTAAGGTTTTCAGAGTAAAATTATAAATTGGGCAACTAAATCTTTAATAGAGAGTCATTTCAATTTAGATCGACAGTACCTTTAAGTTATTTAAAGAATTTGAGCCGCGGTTTAAATCCGCCAAAACCCGGTTTAAATTAAGCGCCGGCCTAAATCTTGAAACATTTGATACAATTTTAAGTGCAACCAACAATATTTAAACCGCGGCTTAAATTTAAACCGCCGCTCAAATTCTTTAAATTCGGCCACTGGATGATTATTCCCTAGAATAGCTGGATGACTGATTACTGTAGAACTGGATGATTATTCCATAGAATAGCTGGATGACTGATTACTGTAGAACCGGATGATTAGTCCCTAGAATAGCAGGATGACTGGCCGAATGCTACATTTTCAGATCTTTGATTGCCTGGGGTAGATCGGGCAGTTTCATTTCCTAGAAGCATATTCATAGTTGCTAACAATTAAACATTGAATCATTGAAACAACAACTGAAACCATCAATCAATCAATCAATCAACGAAGCGATAAACCAATGGATTTAATTCATGAACTAATTCATCAACCAAAATGTTACTAAACTAGCCTGCTTATCATCCCACCGAACATCTTACAATAATTGGGATTTAGATAATCAAGACTAATCTTGCAAAATATTGGAAAAGACTCGGCAAATGCAATCACAATCAGATCGGGGTTTTTTTTATTTGGATATTTCAAACTTCGCACTTACGTCAGGTTTCACATCAGTTTCTGGTTTTAAATTCAATCTTAAATCATCTCAAAGGGGGGGGGGTTGATATAACTCATACTACTTAGCAAAATAAAGCAATTACAAGGAAGAATATTCAAACAAATCGCTATTAATTAACATAAAACGTCAAGATTTTCGATTCTTGAGTCTGGAAACTATAAAGTATACTTGACAGTGTAAATAAAAATGTAAAGAAATGTAAATTCAAAGTTTTATTAGGAAAAGGTTCATGAACTTGTCAATTTAAAAGTAATGGAGAAATCTAGGAGAGCAAATCGAGAAAAGTTGTATAAAAAAGCACGCGTGTAAAAATTTTAAAAAATTGCTATCAATTAGGTTAGGTTAGGTTATCATTGTATTTTTTGTGTCAACCAATGATATGTCATTAAAGCCTTCCTAATGTTGAATTGGTAAATTAAGGTTCTCATAATAATGGTGACAACATATGAATATTAAAAAAAAATGTGTAAAAAATTTTAACGTCACAGATTGAAATATTCAAAAGCTGGACGATCCCGGTTTTGAATCCGGGTCCAGATCTACATAACAATGAAATGAATCCTAAGTGCTGAATTTTTTATTTAATCCTAAGGATTCGCCCTCAACTAAGCTTTCGGTGTGTACTGCAAAGATTTGAACTACACTGACCGAAGAATTAGTGGGTTAAAGTGGAGAGTGTATTGACCCAAACTATATTTACCTAGGCCTATAGCAGGATCGTTTGCTTCTTTTAACTTTTTATGAAGACGAATAGGAATCTAGAAAAGAAAAAAAATTTAGAGAACGATTAAAGTTGAGACCTGACTGAACTGCCTACCGCCGATTCAAATTTGAGTCACTGATTCAAATTCTTCCTTTATCTTTAACTTTGAATCGGTGGTTCAAATTTAAACCAACAGTAGGTGGTTCAGCAACGCAGCTTAAATTCATTAAATCCGGTCTCAGGAGTCGTATCAGACATACAAACAGAGATTACTACTTTATGTCTAAACGATGATACTTCACTTTCTTCTTGGCAGACTCTGGGTTAGGTATAGGTTTGATAAACTCCGGAGGATCCTCCCCTCTCTCCAAGTACTCCTGGCTTGATATCTGTGCCTTCTTAACATGTTTAACTCCTAAACATTAGACAATGAATTGCAAAAAGAAGTTGATCTTCGCGTAGATAGTTGAACCAATCCTCTAGTACATTCCAGAGCTGGGCATTTTTGAATCGTGGTGTGACTTTTATCCTATTTTTCAGTGCTTAGGTTCCGGATCCGTTGGATCCGCAAGATTTTGGCTTCCTGGATCCGGATCCGTATCAAGGGGCAAAATATCAACGAAAAACTGCAAAAAAAATTTTACTCTCAAAACCCAAATCTGAACTATTAAAAAAAGAGAGATAATAAAATTTCCTGATTATACGTTAAAATATGCGAACAAAATAAGACAAAAAATTTGAAAATTTTGCTTTGTTAAAAATTCAGTAAATTTTAAAGAAATAACCTGGATACGGATCCGGATCAATTTTTTCCAGTGCGATCCAGGATCCGGATCAATTTTTCCAGTGCGATCAAAGATCCGGATCCGCATTAAAATTAATCGGATCCTAAGCACTGCTATTTTTAAACATCGTCAAAATTGGTAAAATTTAAATAAATTTTGTTGAAAAAAATGTAATGAACATAAATCTGTATAATAAAAGTTCCGAAATGTATGAGTGTGAGAATACCACAGGTCTGAAATATATGAGGAGTACACCCCAGGTCTGAAATGTTTGAGTGTAAGTATACCCCAGGTCTGAAAAGTATGAGTGTGAGTATACCCCAGGTCTGAAATATATGAGTGTGAGTATACCCCAGGTCTGAAATGCATGAGTGTGAGTATATCCCAGGTCTGAAAAGTATGAGTGTAAGTTTACCCCAGGTCTGGAATGTTTGAGTGTGGGTATACCCCAGGTCTGAAATGTATGTGTGTATACCTCAGGGTAAAATGCATGAGTGTGAGTATACCTCTTTCATGAGAAATCTTGGTGTCCTCTGAGTTTAACTCTATGTAGCAGAGATTGCAGTAAAATGTTTTCTTATCTCCCTTCCTACCCTTCTCTACGGTTCCAGTTGATCCATGACTTAATCAAATGATTCATATATTTTAAAAAGGAATTAATAAACGAATAATAATAATTCTTTTTTTGATAAATTATCGTAAAATAAAGCACATAAGATAAAAATCAAAATAGCTTAGTTAAAGCATTGAAAAGTCATTTTATCTCTAATTTTTCTCTAATTTCTGTTGAATTTAATGTGAACCCATCCCCATCGTATCTCTATTTCTAAGCTCACAGCTTAAAAGCTTGAGTCGAGTCTAAATCTCTTGTCTCAGCTCAATTTTCAAACTTAGACCGGACTTGGTGAGTTTTGTTCAAGTTATTTTACAAGATTTGACTCAACCCAGCAAATCTTTAGTCCAATGTATCGCTAAACCTTAATTTGGTCTCAATTGTTAGCCTAGTTGAGACAAATTTATCCCTAATTATTCAAATTACGGTCTCAAAAACAAACGAATTCAAATTTTTAACTCCTTAACTCTCTAGTTGTTGACTGAAGTAAAATTTTGAGGTTTTGTTGCTCCCGATGAGATTGCTTATCTATCTTACAAGAGTGGTTTCACCACCCGACCCGGTCTAGTTATACTATTATTCAATCATACTTTTCTACTTGATTTTTAAAATGCATATTCACCTGAACCCAGTCGGCAACCCTGAAACAAATTTAATGAAAATAATTTTATGATCGTAAAAAAGATTTATTTAGAATTTGACTATTTTTTTAAAAAAAACTATGACCAATTAAATTCCTACAACGCGAAAAATTGTCATAAATGTGTATTATTCCTTGAGAACTGAAAGGTTTCCAAAACGTTGCATAAGCCTCTTATCTCAATCTTTTAAGACCAAACGAAGTCTGTACAAAAGGTGTCTCAACGTGTCGAATTGTACCCCCACCACACTATTGAAATTGTTTCGAAAATATTTCAAGAATTAGTGGGAGTATACCTGCTCTCTGTATGGCATCTAATTCTTCATGATTTTGATAAAAGCCATCAATCTCGGATTTGTATCTAACACTGATATTTCCATCCACCCCACGGGGACCTAAAATACAAGACTCGTGACTGCCGTTGATATTTTCAGTTAGCCAAATTCCTTACAAATAACCCCTTAAACAACCTTCTGAAAATGTGATGAAAATAAAACCTCCCTCCTGTTAGATACTTTTAGCCGAAATAAATTTAGTTTTTGTTTTCCCCAATTCCACGCAAAAATACCTTCAAAGGAAAAATGGGAAATGCTTTTTCAAAAAAATATTTACCCCTGAGAAACGAGTCGTTTTCTGTTTTGAAAAGGGAAAAGTTCTTTTTCCTGGGCATAACAATTCATTCTTGGTAACTATATTTTCTACCCACAATAGACTAAGTATCTTTACTAAAATAAATTACAGATTTGAAATTCTTTACAAGCTCTTAGCTGAAAATTTTTGTTGAGAAGGGAGGGGGGGGGGGTAGGGGGGGTACTCGCCCATGTTCCCCCCTCCACCCTTGATAGTTTACCTAGCATATATTTTTCATCTTGAGGGATCTCGAGTTTAGGAAGAGAACTTGCACTGCCAACTTCAACGTCTTCACCTAAATATTTTATTATCAAAAAAGATAAGTTCTTCTTCTTCTTCTTCTTCTTTTGTGGTGATTCTCAGGAGTCCCGGTGGGACCATTATGAGAATTTCTGCCAGGCAATGAACTGTTGATCAGGACTACTGCAAGGCTGGATTTAGATAGCCTCAACAGTTCTTGTGCATAGATAATCATCATATCGGGATTTGAACATATTGATAGAGGTTTAACTTTTGACATGAGCTGGTAGTTTGTTCCATATATCTGGTACTCTGATACTTAAGAAATTCCTTCTGATTTCAGTCCTTGAAAAGGAGGATTCAAGGTTTGCTGGATCAGCATTCAACCTTGTTCTTCTGGTCTGGTTTATTTGTTTGAACCAGGTAGATGAGTCAACCCTGTCAAACCCATTTAGGATTTTGTAAGTTGTGATCATGTCCGTTTTTATTCTGCGATCCTTTAAAGAGAGTAGTTTCAGCTCTTGAAGTCGATCCTTGTAATCTTGGCTAATTTAATTTAATTTAATTTAATTTAATTTAATTTATCATTATCCATCTTTTACATTAACTTTTTTTCTAGATAAAGTAAAATATTTTTGTACATTTTTAGAGTTTAATAATAATTACGAATCATTTATGGAAAGTTTAAATCCATTTTCTATGGAAAATAATTACTTCCTGGGATATGATTGTCTGAAACTGAAAACTTTAGAATGGTGGATATCAAGATTAATGCTTAAACTCCTGGTTTTACTAAACCTGATAATAAAGAGACTGTAAAGGAAAAATGTAAGGGGGTATAGGCGGAAACCTAAGTATCTTTGGAGTTGATCGACACCCATGAGAGTTCTATATGATGTTCCTGTCTAAAGAAATTGATAAAAAACTTCCAATTTATACAAAAACCGGTATATAACAAATCTTGTATAAAAATAGTAGGTTTTAAACTGATCATATTCAGCAAATACGCAACTAATCTAAAAACGACGATATCCCAGAGGAGACTAAGTAATTTTTTTATTTTTAATAGATTTAATTAATAATTATAATATATAATTATACGTATGATTATTTATACGTCCGTATCACGTGACCAGAACTTCCACCAATGGCAGTGCAGTATTATTATCACTTGTCTCCATCTGTAATACGAGACCAGTATACTTCACTGCTCAAGACGGTAACATCAGATAGAACTCGCAAGGGTTTCGATCAACTCCAAAGATACTTAGGAGATCAATGATTTTACCACTCCTTGTTGGTTGATAAGAACTTTCCCCGTCACTTCCACTGTTCTCATCCTATTAAGCAGAATTTATTAAATCCATCAGAGTTAAGCCTTTACTTTTAGAAAGCAATTGAAAACAAATAAATATCAATTATGTTCATTACATACAAATTTCGAAAAAAAGCCTCTCAGGTAAAAGTCTCGACTTTTAAAATTAAAATTCCCTTAATGAAAAACATCTCACCTGTATAGACTCCTCATTACCAGCCCTGGCAAAGGTTTTAATATTTAACGACATATTCTGAAAATGTATAAACTTTGAAACCAACTATTAATATGAAACGTTTACGTCAAAAATAAATAATTTAAAAATCTCTGAATTGAATTTATGTTGATCACGAAGTCCAGACTCTTCAAAAACCAGACTAAGACAATCTCAGAAATCAGACGACGCCTTTTTCATAATTAGCGGTTGTAAATTTGGACGACTGTCATTTGAACTACTGATCCTATGAACTATTGAATATTTGAACAAACGATTTGTTTTCATAACAGGCATGTTATTTTCAAGTACTTTTAATATAACATCGAGTTTTTCCGTTACATTTTTTATATATTAAAGCTAGTTATTTTTTTAATATATGTCAAAAATGTATTCAAATGAGCACCATTGTTTTACCTTAAATATTTTCTTTTCAACTTTATTTTAGTTGAAATACACCAGTGCGCAGATTAGAAGATCAAGTGTTAATAAAACCAGAGGTCATAACACAGTAGTTCGATAGTTCGATCAGTTTTTCATAAAAAAAAAATTGTCGTCTTCCATATGAAATTCTCTCAATGTGGATGACGTCTGGATGACGTGTGATATATTCAAGTATATATAAATCGCTTCTTTTTAACACAAGTAAACGCATAGCATACAAGGTTATACAAGTGGACCCGCAATAGCATTTTTAACAAAATAATTGTGGAAAACACGAGATAAATTCATAAAAAGAGGAAAGAATAAATGCAAACACTTCAACGTTTTATCAAAACAAGGAACAATTCGAAGCCGAGGAAAGAACTGGAAACTTTACAATAGACTAAGTATCTTTACTAAAATAAATTACAGATTTGAAATTCTTTACAAGCTNTCCATATTAGGAATGTTTTAGGGTTTTTTTCTTTGCTGAATTGGGGAGAAAAAGAACTTTTCATGGGAAAACTAATAATTTTCATATTTCCCCCAAGCTTCAAAAGAGATTACACAGATACAATATAAAATAGCTTTATCACAAATAAGCATCAAGAATAACTCTTACATTTTTATCAAAAAATTGTTTTTATAAAATTGTCGTTAAAATAAATAAAATCAATGAAGGGAAAGGAATTGAGTCTTTACCACAAACTCTGCTTTTCTAAATCCTATATATTTAGATTCCAAAGTCCTAGACCTTAGATATTTCAAACTATGAATTCTGTTAGATCAAATAATATAAGTTTGAAATATCAAAGATTTACAACATTTGGTTCCAAAGATATAGGGATTATAAAATCAGAGTTTGTGGAAAAGACTCAATTCCTTTAACAAATCAAAATGTATTTAAATCTTGAGACTTTGGTTTAAATAAATCTATGGAGCATGTACAAAAATATAATTTCAATGAATTATACTCAATCTTAAAATAATTATATAACTGAAATAAACATAGATCTTTTGGTTCCTTTTTTTCAAATCTTGAATAATGATTTTTATAGATAATTGTGAAATGTGCATTGATAAATGTTTCATTTCATCCCAGACAAAAGGAATCGATGATTATTGAAATTGATTAATTGAAAATGATGATTATTCCCAGGATTATCTGAGATTGAATTTAAAGAATTTGAGCCGCGGTTTAAATCCGCCAAAACCCGGTTTAAATTTAGCGCCGGCTTAAATCTTGAAACATTTGATACAATTTTAAGTGGAACCAACCATGTTTAAGCCGCGGCTTAAATTTAAACCGCCGCTCAAATTCTTTGAATTCGGCCACTGGATGACTGATTACTGTAGAGCTGGATGATTAATCTCTAGAATAGCGGGATGACTGATTACTGTAGAACAGAGATGGAATTTAAAGAATTTGAGCCGCGGTTTAAATCCGCCAAAACCCGGTTTAAATTAAGCGCCGGCCTAAATCTTGAAACATTTGATACAATTTTAAGTGCAACCAACAATATTTAAACCGCGGCTTAAATTTAAACCGCCGCTCAAATTCTTTAAATTCGGCCACTGGATGATTATTCCCTAGAATAGCTGGATGACTGATTACTGTAGAACTGGATGATTATTCCATAGAATAGCTGGATGACTGATTACTGTAGAACCGGATGATTAGTCCCTAGAATAGCAGGATGACTGGCCGAATGCTACATTTTCAGATCTTTGATTGCCTGGGGTAGATCGGGCAGTTTCATTTCCTAGAAGCATATTCATAGTTGCTAACAATTAAACATTGAATCATTGAAACAACAACTGAAACCATCAATCAATCAATCAATCAACGAAGCGATAAACCAATGGATTTAATTCATGAACTAATTCATCAACCAAAATGTTACTAAACTAGCCTGCTTATCATCCCACCGAACATCTTACAATAATTGGGATTTAGATAATCAAGACTAATCTTGCAAAATATTGGAAAAGACTCGGCAAATGCAATCACAATCAGATCGGGGTTTTTTTTATTTGGATATTTCAAACTTCGCACTTACGTCAGGTTTCACATCAGTTTCTGGTTTTAAATTCAATCTTAAATCATCTCAAATTACACCTAAACATCAAGATATAGTACACCTAAACATCAAGATATATTACACCTAAACATCTAGATATGGTACACCTAAACATCAAGAAATAGTACACCTAAACATCAAGATAAATTACACCTAAACATCAAGATATAGTACACCTAAACATCAAGATAAACTTTCAGGAAACCTTTGTCCTTAGATTTATTACGAACTATCACAACGCTTTCCAAAAGGCTGTTATACTTGTAATGAGAAACTATAATTCAACCACATTCTCTAGTGCTAAATTGCCTAATTGTTTATTGTAAAAAAAACATCATTAACTCTTAATTGGGGCCTATTACTCCGACAGCGGAGGTCTGAGTCAGTTATTAAGTTGGTAACTTTATATTGTACTGATCTACTTATTGCCATGATGGATAACTAACGTAAAATTTAAATCAAGAATTGGTAAATGGGCTTTCTCAACGTAAGCCATGAAATAAAAACTTCATGGCGTATAAAAAAATTTTAAATTTAAGAACGTTTTATATCATTTAAGTATTATATAACTCGCATTTAAAGTCCTATATTTCAGGGGTCAATATAATTCCTTTTTCAATCCCATTTGGGATTGACAAATTTGAAAGAAATGGGGGCAAATTCTTTAATTGGGGGCAAATTTTTTTTAAATGATAATTTAAAAAAAAAAATTAGGGGCATTTTTATTTAATTGGGGGCATTTTTTTTAAATTCGGGGAACAAATGTTTTAGTGGAATTTGAAAAAAAAAAAATTTTAATTGGGGGCATTTTTTTTTAAATTGGGGGCAATGGGGTCAAATGTGTTAGTGGAATTTGTAAAAAATTTTAACTGGGGGCATTTTTATTAAAATTGGGGGCATTTTTTTTTAAATTGGGGGCAATGGGGGCAAATGTGTTAGTGGAATTTAAAAATTTTAACTGGGGGCATTTTTTTTTAAATTGGGGGCAAAAAATTGTTTTGGGATCGAGATTTTTTTGGGAATTATATTGACCCCTGCTATAATTAAAGTAAGCAATGTTTGTCTAACTTTTAATAATTAATTACATTCCGTCAACGCTTAAATTTTTTCAGTCTCTTGGATGCGAATAGAAGAAGATTTGACATTACCCCCCCCCCCCTCTCCATTTATAAACATTCTTGCACTGAGAGTGAGCACCCCCCTCTCCCATCTCCCTTTAATACCAGAATGGAGGGGAGGATAATTATTCCCCCCCCCTCCCTTTAATACCAGAATGGAGGGGGGGATAACTGGTAATATTTACCTTCTCCATGTGAAATATCAGATCTAACTCACAAACATTCTCAAAACATTTATCAAGGGTTTCTACAAACACCTAAAATATACAATTATTATTATTAATGTCCTGAGCAACCTACGGAGTATTGTGTTTATCAGATATCATGATACATGTGTGAACAGCACATCAATCCATTTTATATATTTTTGAGAATCAAACCGAGGGCAACAAATTATTGTCGATGCCCTTGAGTGAAAAATAAAAAAAATAAGAGTAAATTTCTTTGCACACATTTTGCAACTTTTCACACAAACATTCATTTAATTAGAGGAAAATAATGATTTTAGAAAATAAATACCCCTGTTCGAATCTATCTTGATTCACTCAGGAATTTTGAAACTTATCAATGAAATTTTAAAAATAAATCCATTTTACGCAAACTGTGCTTAGAAATCATTTCATTGTGAACCGGATCCGGATCCAGGTCCCAAACCTTATTTCGTCAATATTCATTGATTTTTTAAAACAAATGAACGGTTGAGGTTTGTGCTTTAACAGCGAAAAATATGTTTTTACCGAGTTTTGGTCAATATTTGGCCCCTTAGATCCGGTGTCACGTTAAATAAGGCCCGGGCGTTATACTTGGTCCTCAAAATTCGTATATTAGGAAAATTACCGCTGGTTATGTACAAAGTTATAGAACGGGGGGAGGGGGTCCAAAAATTGTTTATTTTGACTGACCCAAAGCATGCACATTATCATTGTTATTGAAATTGTTACAATTTTTTGTTTGGTAGGCCATAAAATTAAAAATTAGACGCACACACATTATGTACATTATTTAGGCATGTTTTCCACTCTTATGCAGACTAAAATTTTAAATGTGTTTGTTTACTAATGCCGTCTTTGAATTGCACCCGGGCCCAATATTACCCCGGTCTGGATGTAACGCTACACCGGACCCAAGAAGTCAAAATATTGCGGATTCAATGGATCATCTTGATCCCAAGCACTTTCGCAAAATCTAATTTACTAACAGCATGAACTGTTATAAATATCATAAATATTTATGATTTTATCATTTTCCAAATAAAAAAATGATATCTGTTAGATAATACTATGCATTAATTATTGCATAAAAATCAATTATGAACTAACCTGAATCAAATCTAAAATTCCTAGCTCAGACTCTGAGGAATCCACACAAAATACAAAATACAGGGTTGCATAGTGGCGGTAGATCAACTAGAATACAAAATATCGGTAAATCAACTAGAATACAAAATACAGGGTTGCTTAGTGTCAGTAGATCAACTAGAATACAAAATACAGGGTTATATAGTGTCGGTAGATCAACTAAAATTAAATAAATATGGGAGATAGAAATTCAGTCTCACCCATAAACTCAAAATTTCTAACTCCTGTACGTATCTTTGCAACCTGATCGTGTAAACCTTCGATATATTAATATAAAGCTTTTATTGTCTGATCTAACCGAATTCATTTTACATAATATTTACTGCAAGGGACATGTGTAAACATCTATGTTGTTTAATTCTTTGAAATAAAGCATATTCAAGACGGATATTAAAAAAGAATAAGTATTGCTTTTTTAAAACTTATTTAACATCATATTTTACTTACAGGAGTTTAACAATGCTTTCATGATTTGGTATTGAGGGGAAATTGTCACTACCTGGGCGTAATATTACCCAGGGTACTTTTCAACGTCACAGAGGATCCATAGAGCTTAGGATGCGGATTTCAAATAATACCTTGTAATCTGATCCTCCAATATTTCAAATAATACCTTGTAATCTGAGCCTCCAATGAGTGAACCACCCTCCAGGAAGTTGCAAACATTATCATCTCGTTTCGAGACTAGTTGGAAGGTTTCCTTAATTATCTGCTGCTGCTGACTTTCATTCTAAATATAAATACAATAAGAACTTCATTTATAAACTTTATTTGCTATTGTAAATATACCAGTGTTTCGGATCCGGATCCGGTCGGATCCGTATCATTTGGTCGGATCCGGATCCGGATCAGGAAACGTTGATATGGATCGGGTAGCGCCAAAAATTAACCAAAACCATGGAATAAATAAATCAAAATGGTTCGTAAATGTATTATTTACATGACGAAAATTTTTCAAAATTATCTTTAATAATTTAATGTTTACATTTATATAATAGTAATGACGACATTTTTAACTTTAGGATTACTATAGTTTATAAATTATAACCTTGCATAACATTTAATAGGGAAAATCCGATTCACAGAATCAAAAGTTACCTCGGATCCGGATCCGGATCCGGATCCGAATCAAAATGAATGGATCCGAAACACTGAAATATACTATGTACCTTAAAATGAGTCATTTTGTTGAATCATGTACTGTTTGCAGTTCAATAAGAAGATAAATAAATATTTGTTGAAAAATTTGTCAAGTCAAAATTATAAATAAAGTAATAAGCTTTAGGCTACTTTAAAAGAATATTGTAACCTCAAATCTTTTTTGATATTATTAGTTATGATACTTCTAGTTATTTTACAAATTTTCAACTTTTACACAAGCCATTATAAACATCTGATTTTTATCTATATTATAAAAATGAAAAAAGGAAACATTTTTTTGAAACGCACTATTATATTGCCATGAAGTGACATAAAATATCTACAACAATGTAATCAAGAGCTTGTTCTGATATATAAAAAGTGTTTATGTTAGGCATGAGACAGAACTCGGTCATATTATTACTGGTCTGTACTTTTAGAATTCTTAAATATAATATTAAGTAACCGGTATAAATACATAATAATCATAGTTTCTTTGGATAAAAGGGTAGCGTTGGCAATTTCTATTGGCACTCTTTGATAAAGGGTGACTTTAAAAACATTTACAGTTGCTCAACTATACTTAAAAGATAAAAAAGATAATCAATTATCATTGTAAGTTGTTCAAAACAGAAAAAAAGTAAAATTAATACTAGAAAATATAACTTACGTAATACTGGTAGAACTTGTTAAGTCTCGGTTTTCCATGGTTATTAAAAATCAAAATTGCTTTGATCATCTCTGAAAACAAACATTACCATAATTGCCTGTCTGACATAGCTTTGCATAAAAAAAATCTAGTTAATTCAAATGTCACAAACACAGTGTTATTTTAATTTCAAAAATATTAAAATCTTTTTCAGCAAACTGATTTTCTCTTTTATTTCTTCTTCATCTTTCCATATTCGTTTGTTTTTCTTTCTCGCCAGGTTTTCAGATTTGAGGAGAGATTTAGCGTAAACTTGATTATTTGATTGATGAGTGGAAATTGTTGCAAACCCTTCCTCCACAAGATTTCTAATATTAGACATCAAATGTGTAGGACCCATAAAACCCGTGGAACAACTGTTGGAAACTAGGACTCAAGTAGTATGCGCATGAAACACCTATTTCTAGAGGTGCATAAAATTCTTACCCCCCGAGGGGAAAGAAATCAAAGACCCAAAAGGAGGGGAAGGGAAGTAAAAGGGAAGGAAAAAGGGAAGGAAGAGGTGAAGGAAAAGGTAGAAAAAATGAGGGAAGGAAAAGGGAAAAGGAAAGAGGAAAGAAAAAGGTTGGAAAAAGGGAGGGGGAAAATGAAAGGAAAAGGGGAAGAAAAAAAGTTTCATTTTTCGCGAACACAACCTTTAAGTTATAGAATTTGGGGAAGGAAATCAAAATAAAATTTGAATTGGGGGGGGGGGGGGATTAAAAAAAATTGGAATTATATACACCCTGTCTATTTCTCTAATAAGTTAATGATCAACCTACTGTTAACACTATTTGCTTTGTATAGTATGTCAAAAACACATACTGTTGCTTAAATGTTGTCGTCTATGTGGGTCTTCATGTATAAGAATTTTTCTTCAAAATATCCAAAATATACAAGGTGACGCTTTAAAGAGGGTTTCAAATTGATGAATTTCCTTGCTATACAGTCGGACCAGACACCCCAGCTCTTCAGTCTGAGTTCACATATCAATAGATTTTCCTTTCTTTCCAACAGTTTCATCTTAATCTAAACACAGGGGTTTATACTTGCAACGATTTAATCAATTTCAAGGAATGATGTCGTTACTCCGGTAGAAAAATGAATATTTGTACACCAAAAGGCAGCTGACTTGAGATTTTAAATTATAAAACATTCATGAAATTTCCCAATAAAATTAAGAAGCAAATATGGTTGTTAAAAAGAGAATATTCACCATTAAACGTTAAATTCCCATACCTTCTTATCCTGTATACGTAATCTTAAATAATCCTCACATTCATCTGTACAAGCAAAACAATGGACTTATAGACGCAACAGATAGAAGTAAGATTAGTAGCGATCAAAAGCGCTTTTTTTAACGCATTAAGCCTATACCACCTTTCATTTTTCGCGAACACTCCCTTTAAAGAAACTTTAAACATAAGATTTGGAATTACTTTCGATATTTTGTCATTAGTTTTCAAGCAGGATTCTTCAGATGCCATTTCACTTATCTGCTAAATTCTTTTACTTTTACTGATTTTAAAGAAGAAAAAATCGTCACACATAAATCAACATTAAGATGGTTGAAATATTACAATAAAGAGAGACAAAAGAACAAGAAGCATAGCTTTCTATAAACGTGTTAAAATCTTTTATTTTTGAATTATTATTAACTTTCCATTATTTCCTTTATATTGAGGAGAGACATGTATACCATGAACTGGTATGTGAAGGCTGGATTGTACTGTACGTAACGGAAGCTGGAATATCGGTACATGTGATACGTGCAATACTGGAACATTCTCTGAAGTATTAAAAACGTATTAATAGAAAGAAATGATTAATTGATTATGCTAAAATTGCAGAAATTAAAATCTGCTATTCTATCAAAAATTACAATTCTAGCATTGAGTCTTCATACTGCAGGAAACCAAATTGAGAAAAATCTTATTAAAAGAAAAATGTACAAATGTAAGCATAAATAAGAAATTTAAGGATTTCACAATAACGTTTTCAAAATCGTTAATAGTTTTTGTAGAAAATCAGGATAAAAATAATGAATAAGTTAAGCAAAAGAAAAAATAATTGAGTTTATGCTTAAAAATATTTTTAAAAATTTAAGTATTTTTTACTAAAAACAAAAGTACCTGAATTCAACTTTTGAATTTGTAGTGAGCGAACCCTGCCAAAAATACTGAAAACGACAATGTTTTTTTGAATTCAGGTAAATTCTTAAAGTGTAGTTCACTAAACAAGGATTGTTTACAAAATCGAAAGCTATTTGATATAATAACAAATCAAACAGCTGTTATTCCGTCTTATAGCTACATCTAATTTCTTATAAAAAGAAATTAATTAATCGTCCCTGATATTTTTTTGAATAAATTCGTCGGGGATTTCTGAGATATTCTTGAATACGTGGAAAGCCCGCAAACTCATCCCTGCAGAATAAAATATAATTTAAACATAAAAAGGAATTTACGTGGTTTGCGCGGTAAGATTTTACCCCCCCCCCCCCATACACTCACCATTCATTTTATACAGATAAAACAACTCATTAAATATAAATTCTCTGAATTTACCAAATATTTGTTTTATATAGAAATTAGAAATAATTAGTAGGTCTACAAGGGAACCCGACCTGGAAACCCCAGACATACATATATAAAACAATTTAGGGACATACAGTTCAAAACCAGTTAAATGCCCGACTCACAACGTTGCCATCTAAAACTTTTTAATTATATCAACAGAAAAATAACAGTCTATTTTCTTTCGTGTTTTTACTGTATAATTCCACTTGTCTCTACAAAACCTGCAATTGAAAAGGTCCATTTCAGACTAAAAAGTAGGAATATCTCGAAACACTTTTTTAGACAAACGTAAGAGTGCAACGTTGCTTAATGGGCATGACACTCTTTTAATTTTGAGTCACATGTACTTGCGTTAAAATACCCTTTAATTAACAAATACCTATTCTTATAAATCCTGCTAAACCAATGGTATAGAATCCGTAAGTGATTTCTCTCTTATACTCGTCAATAAATAATGAGATATGACTCAGGGAGGACTTGTAAGATCCAGAGTCAACCTTCGTTACGGGGTTCTTAATCTCATCCTTCATCTTGAACCTGTTCTAGTTCAACATTATTCTCTGAAAAGTTTTAATAAATATATAAATACATAACAACGGCACCCGCAATCACAGCCAAATTAGATTTCAATGTGTGTTTACATTTTTATGTTACAAAAATGGATATATTCAACAAGATAACATTTTGATATGATCTACCTATTCGGGGTAAATAATGATCCACAACCTTCCCGGTTTATGTCAATTTCTCGCTGCATCTGAAAATAAGAACACATTGTTCAATGTTCACCCCGCTAGAAGCTAGGTTTAATAAAAAAAACTGTAATTTATACAGCTTCTGAAAGTAGACTTTTTGTTTTGTTCTAATACTTTCTTAAATTTACTTTCAGAATCTGAAAAAAATCAGGTTTTATGTTTTAAAAAGGCAATGAACATTTGTATCGTAATAATATGCATTTTTCATGAAACTCTGTTCTTAAAAACCAAACCAAACATTTAAAATTTGTATTTTGAGAGTGGGGGTCTCGCAAAATGTATTACCTCACAATACAGTTGCCAGTGATTTTTCTTTCCCACTTCGCCAGCAGCGCTTCTCTGGGCACCATGGCAATAGCATATTGTTTAATTCTAACCCCCCCCCCCTTAAGAAATAAATTCATTTAAATCAATTCAAATTCGAAAAATCAAAATTCTGAATTACTTAAAGGGAGTGTCTGGCTTTTGATTGATTGATTGAGGGTCGTTTATTTCTTTGTGCCTTATTACTGGCAACTTAGAAATTGTAGTTGAACTGAGATTGCTCACAAAGCTCAACTGTTGAAAAAATAGAGATTATTAAAATTTTCGTAATTTTTAAAAATGGAAGGTTTTTGTCAAAAATAAGTGAAAAAAAATCAAGAAAATCTAAAGAAATGTTCTTGGTCTGGATCCGCATCAAAATCAAATGGATTAATTATGCCTTTTCATTATTTAATCATATTTAATTTAAATTTATTTACCGTAAAAAATAGTTTTTGACTAAATATTTTTGTAAATATCCAACAATATAACAATGTATTGCCAGTTGCCTGAATTGATTGAAGGGGAAGGTGTGTGAGATAAAGGGTTTTATTTTCCCAGTCTCCAACCAGTCATCTATAGCCTAGGGTCAACAAATACTGAACAATGAACATATTGTACATGTTCCATATATTAAACGTATAAGTACTACTTAAATATCTTAACCAAATTTAATATGTTGAAGATATTCAACATACTATATATATTGAACATTTTGAACATATTGAATGAATTCAGCAGATTGAAAGGATTGATAGGATTGAAAGGACTAAAAAAATTGAAAGGATTAAAAAGAATTGAAATGATTGAAAGGATTGAAAGGATTAAAATGGGTGAAATGGTTGAAAGAATTGAAAAAATTGAAATGGTTGAAAGGATTGAGAGGATTGAAAGGATTGAAAGGGTTGAAAAGATTGTAAGGATTGAGAGGATTGAAAGGATTGGAAGGAGGATTGGAATGACCGGATGTAAGATGGAAACAAGGTTTTTTAGGGCTTTACTCTCTGAACTAAAGAAATATTAAGATTTTACGGGAAAAAATATTCTTTTGGAGATAAAGTATCAAACTTATGAAAAATGAAAAATTTGCCTAATGATGTGCAAATTTTTCTTCTTCATTTTTTCCTTTATCATCAAAATTCTTTATTCTTAAAAATATACACCCCTGAATGGAAACAAACAGAATAAAGTGACTGATATAGTTTGTAAGTTTTAAAGTATTCTGCCTGAAGTCTGGGAATCCTGATATTAGGATCTAGACGGGTATTGATGGCAACAGGACATCCAATAATCTAAAATAAATAATTAAAAAATAAATAAAATTATACCAGTTCAAAAAAATGGACAAAAAAATCAGATAAAGATTATATAACGACTAACGAGCATAACAGTATCATTTGCAAATGTCATGCTAAACCTGAAATACATGTACACCGAATTGTGTGGAGGGGTGGGTACCTTAGAGCCTTCGTGCTTTCAGGAAGTCATAATATATAGATAGATAGGTAGATCAAAGACTATATAAAGATGCTGCATCGGAAAATCTATGCAAATTCTACGCACTTTGTTTGGTCTAGTAAAGATTGTATCAAATGTCGTCTTCTCTACAGAATATTAAGAAATTTTTTGCTTTGAAGTTTGATTCCATTAAATGATTCATACTTTTGAACCCAAACTCCCACAAATCAATTGACGAGTTGATCGGTTTGAATATATGAATTTATGCAAAATTATTTCTTTGCTTAAGATGAAACAAAAGACGACATTAACTTATTTTTTTTAATATTTTATATTTGATACATTTGCCCTACCCCTTTCACAGACTAAAATGTCACTCTGTAGCACGTAAAAAACATATTTGACTACACATAAAATTTTCATTAACGATTATTGGCTATTTTTCATACAAAAGAGATGTGCGTAATTTATTCACAAATTCAGGTTTATTTTAAAAAAAGATCCTTTCATCCAACAAATTAATATTATTGATTTTTTATTAACGTTTAGCACAAAACATTCACAACTGTTGTGTTAAATAACTGTTGTTTTAATGTTGATTGTTGGGTGCTCAAGCAACCCAAAGACATCAAATCTTTACGTAGTGTACACAATAGTCGGATAAATCTATAATGCAGCATCTTAAACAAGATAGAGCGACTTTGAGACAGATCATTTTTAAGATTTGGATGAAAACCATTTAAATTTAGCTACAATTCAAATGTTTTTTTTTATAATTTTGGAAGTTTCAGTTTTTGCTCCTCTAGAAATATTTTACTGTTAACCGAAAGTTCTGGATTTGGTTGAAGTTTCTCTTAAAAAAAACATCTTGACTGTAGGTGACTTGATTCTAACCCCTGACCAACCTGTGCTCCTTTCATCATGATAAGGTTTGTTGGAATCATGTTTGCTGAAGCATGATCAGCTCCAGCTCCTCTACCTCCTCCTGCTAGTGGAGTACTTGTCCATCCTATCACACAATACCGACCTCCAAACCTAGATTCACAACAGTTAAGATCAGTTTTATCAACTGAGAACTAGACTTCTGTATTGTTTTTCCTGTAAATATAACTAATCCAATTTAAAGTACGACGGATGAAGCTTATTACTTTTGAATATCTCTCAATTAAAAGACAAAAGTTATATATTAGTGTTATCTCATACAACCTCTGTTGAATCACGTAAAAAATTGTAATCAATCAATCAAATCTTAAAGGGCATTGTAAAGGGAAATTTGTATTTTTGCAGAAAAAAAACCTTTAATCCTAAAAAAAAGCCATTACCTGATTGATTTAAGTGAGTCCCTAGCTAACTGAGTTCCACCCACCGTATCGTAAACTAAATCTACTCCCTAAAAATATAATTAAAAAATATATTTATTAATTACTGCCCCCTTCTTAATTCTAAGCTGGGTAGGGGGGAATGCACGTTAGAGCTTAAAAAAGGGGATAGAACTTGCAATGTTAATTGCAATTGATTTCCTTTTCCCAAAATAACATTTTTAATTTTTCTATCAAATCAAATCAAATCAAACCAAATCAAACCAAACCAAACCAAACCAAACCAAACCAAACCAAACCAAACCAAATCAAATAATCAAATCAAATCAAATCAAATCAAATCAAATCAAATCAAATCAAATCAAATCAAATCAAATCAAATCAAATCAAATCAAATCAAATCAAATCAAATGAGTCAAATCAAGTATAATGAAAGGAACCCCTATCCGGAACCTCAGACTGCTTTCACCATCGTGCAGATTGAGTTCATAATAATTCCGCTTCTTTATTTTTTTACACTTGATGGTGGTAGTTGGTAATCTAAGTGTACTACATGTACGATCTGTACGATATGTACAAATATTAGAAGTTAAACTGAGTGTTCCTACCTTGAATCCTAAGGATTTGATATATTTGTCTAATCTGATTTCTTCGTTATAGTTGAACTTTCCAACAACTCTAATTAACAGGAGAAGATTAGTTAAATCTTGTTATCTTTAAGCCGAGCAAGAGAGAAACTATGGAACTAAAAACTAACCAACTTCTTATTTTCTAGTCTTCATTTCTTTGCAAACTGATATTGTAACCTTTGATATTACAAACTTAGACTAATTGATCTTGGAGAGGAGAATTCGCTGTTAGAAATATCAAGTGTCTCTGATTGCAAAGAAATTATGAACACATTGAAATGTAATCTGTAAAGAACCCCGATATAGGTGATTATGTGATTATTTGTATATTATGCGTAGGAAGAAAGTGCAATAATCAATATTATGACAATAATTTTGATTATTACACTTTCTTCCTACGCATAATAATATCATACTACCCTTACACGAATAATTATAATTATTACACAAAATGGGTGACAATAACAAGAATTATTCCTGATTTGGCCACGTATTAAATCTATAAGAATGTGGTATAATATATTATTATTGTTATTATTATAATTATTAGAAAATAAGAACTTGTGGGGAGAGTTCAGTTCCTTAGAAATTTAAAACATTAAAAGTTAAATATAATTGCTTTTCGTGGCCATGCATGTGGCTCTCCTGGCGTAAGTAAATGATAATAATACAAATTTTAAATACTGGCATGGGAATCCAGCTTTGACAGGAATCCATCAAGTTTTTCAGCTAAATTTCGAATCTTTAACCAAGCTAAAAACATTCTCGTGGTTTTTATGAGGTCCTCAATTGAGGCAAATTGGTCATACTTCCAAGAGGTTCATGAGCTATGATCGGACATTAAAACAGACAACTGGCAAACAGGGATTACTACTTAATATATATATATATGTCGATGATGAATGCTTGAATGATATATCTATAAACCTGCCTGCCGGTGCCATAGCATTGTTGTTCCACGAGATCAAGTTTAGCCTGGCTTCCACCAGATATAATTATATCCGCTCCTAGAATACATTCATTTAGTCGTCTTTGCAGCATACAATTCAACATCTCCCGCCCCCTCCCCTTCTTAAATTACAGGAAAAATAAATTTTTTAAATTACATGGAGTGGAGCCCCCAGACCGTCTTCGGTGCGCAGCGCGTCAACATGCAGCGTACGGCCTGAATATTGATCTTAGAAGATTTTTCTCAATACTTAGATACTTTACTCCTGTCGAGTCCCCAAAAATTTTCAATTTTTTTCAAAAAAAATGGTAGATAAACTGAGCCAAAATATTAGTTTACAACCTAATCCGGGGATGTAAGAGATTAGTTTAAAACCTAATCCTGAGAATGTAAGATATTGGTTTATAACCTAATCCTGAGAATGTAAGAGATTAGTTTACAACCTAATCCGGGGGATGTAAGGGATTAGTTTACAATCTAATCCTGAGAACTTAGAGATTAGTTTACGACCTAATCCATACAGAAAGAGGTGCACAGATTAGTTTTCGACATATTCCTCTTGTAAAGTAAAGAAGCAGTAAACCAGTTAGGCAATAGATTAGATAAGACCTAGTCATGGCAGAAGAATACCGTGAGTACAAAAGTTTAGTTAACAATCTAATCCGTGCTGTGAAATAGATTATTTTAAGACGTAGTCATTGCTGATGTAAACAGAGAGTACAGGAGATTAATTTACGACTTAATTTCTGTGTTTAATGTAAACTAATGATAACACTGTCCTTTTGAAACCCAAAAACCCAGGTTCAAAATNAGGTGGGTTGAGGATAACAACCTGTTGTTACAGCCAACTCAGGTTTCCGGAAACCCTTCACCCCGGTTCACCTGAATCCAGAAATCATTAATAGAACAAAACCTGGGCGGATTTAACAGACAACCCCAGGCGTGTATGAAATGCATATTACGAGGGGAAGTACTGATGGGTGAAGTTTATTGTGGATTCCCTTTAATTAATTAATATTTACCAAGTGCTGATGCTAATTGTACAGCAGCTAACCCTGATGCTCCAGTAGCTCCATGAATCAATGCTAGTTCACCTAAATAATATGAACAACCTTAATTCTGTGAAGTGAGCAATGCACATTTTTCTAAAATCATTTTAAAAAACTAAAATAATTCTCTTCTAGAATTTCAAAGACATCTGTTATTTGTCCATATTGAAAAGAAAAAATTAATTTCGAAATTTTAGGTTTTTAGATCGGTCTAACGATACCTCCCCTTTACAAAATTTCTCAAAAAAGCACAATACAAATGTTTAATTCACCTTTTTTTAATCCACCGCAGTGAACTAAACCATGGTAAGCTGTTTCATAAGCACCGTTGAGAACAGCAGCCTCACCCAAACCAAGGCCGGCAGGTAACTTCCTTAACCATTAATATTAAATTATACATCCTTGTGACTATACTGTACATAAATCAAAGAATGGCATCAACGATTGAACAAGGTTCCCTTAACACCGATTTCGAAGTATGGCCAAGGAAAACATCCAGCAGAGGTGAATAATTTCAAGAATCATTCAAAAGAAAAAAAATCTTTTTTCCCTATTTTCTTTTTTCGCCTAACCATATCATCATTATTCCTCTTAATTTAGTTTGTTAAAGGCTTTATCGAAGGTAATTGAAAAGGCAGCCTCCCGCCCCCCAAAAAAATAGATCGGCTGTGATCTGGGTGGATGATCTTTAACGAAGATAAAAAAAAACCTTATATCTATATTTTCTTCTCTGTCTAAAGTGTACGAAATTTTCAGAGAGCGACTGAGTTTCATACAGTGTAGGACAAGTAAGAAAATGGCCAGGATTTTTCCCATTAATTATGAAAAATTACCTAACTGAAAATGACGGAGCCAATGAATATGACGCCATTCCACCCCAAGCAGCATATTCTCCATAACTCCTGTAAGCAATAGAATAAAAACCTACAATTGATTTTATGGTAACTAGTTTTCTGTTAAAATATTCTACGTTTCTACCAGTAGTAAACTATTACAAATCAAATCAAATCAAATCAAATCATTCAAAATCTAATTTCTTATGAGAGAGATAAACATTGAACAAAATCTCCAATAATTTATAGTTCATTTGGAATATTGACGAGAAAATTTGGAAAAATAGAATTTTGAAAAATATGAGAATTTGGAAAAATAGGAGAATTTTGAAAAATAGGAGAATTTGGAAAAATAGGAGAATTTAGAAAATAGGAGAATTTTGGAAAATAGGAGAATTTTGAAAAATAGGAGAATTTTGAAAAATAGGAGAATTTGGAAAAATAGGAGAATTTAGAAAATAGGAGAATTTTGGAAAATAGGAGAATTTGGATAAATAGGAGAATTTGGAAAAATAGGAGAATTTTGAAAATAGGAGGATTTTTGAAAAATACGAGAATTTAGAAAAATAGGAGAATTTAGAAAAATATGAGAATTTGGAAAAATAGGAGAATTTGGAAAATAGGAGAATTTAGAAAAATATGAAAATTTGGAAAAATATGAGGATTTGGAAAAATATGAGGATTTGGAAAATATAGGAGAATTTGAAAAAATAGGAGAATTTTGAAAATAGGAGAATTTTGGAAAATAGGAGAATTTTGAAAATAGGAGAATTTGGAAAAATAGGAGAATTTGGAAAATTAGGAGAATTTAGAAAAATATGAGAATTTAGAAAAATAGGAGAATTTAGAAAAATAAGAGAATTTGGAAAAATAAGAGAATTTGTAAAAAATATGAAAATTTGGAAAAATATGAGAATTTGGAAAAATATGAAAATTTGGAAAAATATGAGAATTTGGAAAAATATGAGAATTTGAAAAAAATATGAGAATTTGGAAAAATAGGAGAATTTGAAAAAATTGGAGAATTTGGAAAAATAGGAAAAATTTGAGAATTTGGAAAAATTGGAGAAAAGGATATGAATAGATTTGTTATAATTCCTTCTCGGAACGCTAATTCTCCTGCAGAAGAAACTAATCCTTGAGGTCGGATTCTAACTTTCTAAGAATGGCAAAATTGAGTTAACCAACATTTCCATTCTCCAGTGTCAACTACACATATCCATAGATAAAGATAGATTGCGCATAAGACGACATTTTTCATCTTGAAAGATATAAATATACAGAGAGGTTTTAAAGACATTCTATTATATAGATTAACTAGGTTGGTTGTGAACATCGGCTATTCTTATGTCATTGAGTACTTGTGGTGTACATGAGTTCTGTAGAGAGAAATTTAAGTTAGTTTAGTCCTTCTCATGTCCTTCTTCAATTCTCGTCAATATGATATATTGCTCAGTGAAACATTTTTGTTCAAATAGTTTTACACTCTATTATGAAATCTATTAAAACGCCAAACCACCCGCTTATCATTGAAGTACACTTTGACCCCCAGAAGTATGAGTTCGCGGACTGTACAATTCTTGGTGATTTTGCGTACATAAGCTGTCTATGTTTATTTATTTATCTATGCACATATCTCGTTAAACTCTTACGATTGATTGAATCTGACGCTAATTCTCCTTCTAATGAAACTACGACATAAGGTCGAATATAAAAATAGGTAGATTGAGCTAACCAACTTCTCCAATGGGGTCAAGTGTTCACTTAAGAATAAGTTCAAAAACTTAGTTTTACACTTTCACTTATTTAGATCTAACTCCAAAATACGAGACATGGATGAAGTTACCTTGGACCAGTATTAACTATATCCCCAACGTAAACCTTATCTCCAATACTCAGCACAGAGTCTAAACCTAAATTAGAAGTTAATATAAAGTATAATGATAACATAAACTGATTTAGTTATATAGTTATATAGATACAAGTGTTTGACAAATATTATAATTGGAACAATTTTTACAGTTTAATTTAGCAAGAACCTATCTATCCATTGTTGCTGGTTGTTTAGAATGAGAAGCCCCCTTTTTCAGCAATTAGTACATATTAAATCAAAATCATCAGCAATTAGTATACATATTAAATCAAAATCATCAGCAATTAGTACATATTAAATCAATGTCATCAGAAATTAGTATACATATTAAATCAAAATCATCAGCAATGAATACATATTAAATCAAAATCATCAGCAATGAATACATATTAAATCAAAATCATCAGCAATGAATACATATTAAATCAAAATCATCAGCAATTATTATACATATTAAATCAAAATCATCAGCAATGAATACATATTAAATCAAAATCATCAGCAATTATTATACATATTAAATCAAAATCATCAGCAATGAATACATATTAAATCAAAATCATCAGCAATTAGTATACATATTAAATCAAAATCATCAGCAATTAGTATACATATTAAATCAAAATCATCAGCAATGAATACATATTAAATCAAAATCATCAACAATGAATACATATTAAATCAAAGTCAAATAAAATTAAACAAAAAAATAGAAGTAGAAGAAAGCAAAAAGAGGTGGGAGTATAGATTATTATTTTGGTAGAAGTTATTCGTTTTGGAAAAAAATTTTATTGTTTTTTAATAGTTTGCCTATTTTCACCTTTGGGAAGAAAAGCAACAGTTCCACTATATTCCATTCCAGGAGTGTAGGGCAGAGGAGGTGCTTGCTGATATTGTCCTAAATATTCGATAATTCATTTCTAGTTTTGAAAATATTACCTCCCTTCTTTTAACAACACTGCCCCGCTTTCAGGAAATGTCAGTGAAATGTCAAGTGCCCCTCTATGTAAAGATGGCAATGCCCGAATCACAACGGTACCCTTCAAAAGCTAAATGTCTGATTAAGGAAGACTTATATATCAAAGTTAACAATTTTTAAAACTGATTATTTTCAATGGTGGTTTCTCTACAAGTGACTTGCCCATTTCTACTGCAGGAAAAAAAGGATTATCAGATATACACTTTAAACCTATACAAACGACAATATCTTCAGTTTTCTTGATCGGAGAAAGTTCAAGGGTACCGTTGTGAATCACGCATTGCCATCATGGAGGGCCAAATACAATACTTATTATTGTAAACTGATCTTAACTTAAATTAAAAATCAATTAATCAACAATTTCTGATTACTCAAATTAAATCAGTCAATTGAGAATCTAAATGATTGAATTTCAATTTTATATTTACCAGCAAACATGAGTAGGTCAACCCAGTGTACTGCACAGCTATCAACTTTAACTTATCACACATTTGTAAATAAAGGAATTTAGACATTTAGATTTTTAAAATTTCATAAGATCATAAAAAATGTCGAAAGGATAAGAGTAATCTAAGAGAGAAAAAAATATCATAAAATGTATTCCAAATGAAGCCTGAACCTAGAACTGCATCATCAGGAATATCTGTATCCCTTATTTCCTGAAAAACAGAATAATGATTTAATTAAGATTTAAAACACCCCACGTCACTTCCACTCAGCTGAAGTCGACAAAGGGTCTAAATTATGCAAGTACACCCCCCCCATAACAGTGACTTCATCGAGAAAACAAAAATTTAAATACTTTTTGAATAAATAAATTTAATAGGGTCCAAAGTTATAAGATTTATGCAAGAATCAAAAGAACTTTTTTAGATCTTAATATTTATTTTGTAGCAGAGATTAAGATATTACAATTGTATTACAAGTTTACAACTTTCATAAATGGAAAAACTACATTATTTATTTTCTATATAAATGATTCATATGATAGACACAGATTAGACTTTGAATGCCAATGCAATATTTCGCAGCTGACTCCCTCGTCATCCATTGCTGAGAAACAACAGAACTTCCTGTAGTTATTAACCAACTGATATTTAATTTGGTTGTCTACTTTTTCATATGCTCTAATTGCGTTGTGTCTAACTGGGCAAACTGTACAATCTTTTTCTTCACAGAAAGTAAAAACTGGGTTTGCAATGTTCACAGGTGGTTTTAGTTCGATTTCAAGTTCAGTTTCAGATTCTGGACCAGCTTCAGTCTCAAGTTCAGGTTCAGGCGCAGACTCAGTCTCAGGTTCAGGTTCAGGCGCCGACTCAGCCTCAGGTTCAGGTTCAGGGGCAGACTCAGAATCAGGTTCTGTTTCAGGCGCAGACTCAGTCTCAGGTTCAGGTTCAGGTTCAGGTGCAGACTCAGGATCAAGTTCAGGTTCAGGCGCTGACTCAGGATCAGATTCCTTAGTACCCTTAGGCCTGGAAAGAAGATTGGTGTTAGGTGTTGATGGTGTACATATCCCATCAAGCTGGGGAATAGGGGAGGAAGTGATGGATGGAGATCTAGCTCTTTTCATTTTGGCTTTCCTATCTTCTAGTAGAGGAGGTCTAGCTTCATTCACGGGGTTCCTTACAATCTTCCATGGGCGCCCGATTTCCTGACATGGGGACTTTGACACATCCCGCAAGGGTTGTCTAGCTTCTTTCAGGGGGACCGCACTTCCTTCAGGGGGGACCGAACTTCCATATGGGGGGACCGCACTTCCTTCAGAGGGGACCGCACTTCCTTCAGGGGGGAAGGGGACCGCACTTCCTTCAGGGGGGACCACACTTCCTTCAGGGGTGACTGCACTTCCTTCAGAGGGTACCGCACTTCCTTCAGGGGAGACTGCACTTCTTGCTGGGGTAGTCTCACTTCCTTCAGAGTTGACATCACACCTCTGTTTCTTCTCCTTCTCCTGTTGACGGGTCGAGAAACTCTAGAAAATGAGAAAAATTCTTCTCCATCTTTAGTCCGCAGGTTAAGCTTGATATCCAGTCCTAGATCCACTCCTTCCCTATACAACTCCAAGAGTTTATGTGTAATTCTCATTGTTTGTGTTTTAAACTCCCCGCCATAGCAACAGCTAGCTGGGTCAGCTGGTATCAGGCTAGGAGAGAGAGAGTCACAGAGATGTGTTGTTGCTAGCAGGGTTAGGGGGAGACTGAAAAAGACAAGAACTAATACCCTTCATTGATGTAAGTAATATTCATTAATACCTGTTTCACAATCTTCAAATTCTTGACGCCCTCAACAGGATCAGAGCTAGAAACAAAAAGCCATTTATTTTCAGTTATATTTCTGAATAGATAATTACAACCCCCCCCCCTCACCCTTCATCATGAAATATCGTTAAAATCGTGTGTACAAAAAAGATAGTAAAAATCTTCTACTGGACGGAGCACGGTAATTTCCTAAAAACGATTTTTGGACTACCCAGCCCCCCCCCTTCCTATAAATTCTGTACATGGATCTCATATGTAACACATGGATATAATTGGTCATGTGGTCGCAGCGCCCGGCCCCCGTGCCACGGCGCTCTGCCTCCTGGCATGTCATTGCCATAGCCCGCGGCCCCCTAGCCTGTCCTAGCCGCAGCGCTCGACCAAAAATTGTCTTAACCTAACCTAAAATAATAAAAAAAACTAATAATTTTCTCAAATCATCGTTCTCTAGGAAATTACCCACGCATATCGTCCACAAAAAAATCATGTTTCATGACAATCAATGTTCAAACGCATTCAAACGGGTTGAAATTCAATTCATTTTCAGGGTAACTAAAACCTGAATGTTAAGGCGGGTGAAATAGCCTAAATAGAAGTACTATTATTGTTCGCTAGTCCACAAAATCTACAATATTCACTGTAATATCGGTTTAAGAATCGACAGAATTAGTTTAGGACATATCGGCTGTTTGGAATATCTATCAGCTTGTAGGCTTAACTTTGTTCCAAAATTTCAAAATTAGGGTGTTTAGTGGATTCTTATATAGGTTACCAACCTCTATAATATGCCACTACTTATAATATTATCTACCTGACATTATTCACGACAATCTTCTGACCAGTGAACATACATCTTATTGTCAAAGCTTTAAAACCGTATTTAGAAACTAATGTTGAAGAAATAAACATTTTCTCAAAACAGGTGTTCATTTTCTATTCTCTTATAAAACGTAGAAATCCCGTCGTCATGTAGCAACAATATGTTTCGAGGATTATATTGTAATTGTAGGCTTTTCTCTCGGTTTCCACTTTACAGAGTAAGAGCGCTCAAAGCCGCAAATGTTATATTTTCCAAGGAATCATAGAAGTTTGAACTTAAGTGAAGACGACTACGAGTTTAGAAAAACACATATTTTTTCGATGCTGTATTTTTGAACCTACGCTCCCTACGCCAATCCGTTCTACTGCCCATTCGACCTAATAACACCAACACCTGGCTTTTACAGCAGCTGTAGGTTCGATGCACTGTAGGTCGGATGGGCACTTTAAAAAAGGCATTGGTGCATCCGACGAATCCGACCTCTGTAAGCTGTCACAATTGGACACGTTAGAGGTCAGATAACTAGGGGCGTACGAGGGGGGGGCAAGCCCCCCAGCCTCCCCCCCTTCGCTTTCCCCCTCTCAGGGGGGGCTCATGGGGGGGGTTCTTTAAATATTACATCTTCCTCTGCTCTTAACAAAAAAAGTTTCATTAAAAAAGCTTCAATACTGCCTTCAGTGTTATAAATATATATTTGATATCATAATTTATTACACAATATGTATAATCCTATGAAAATATATTTATTTTTTTAGAAACATTTCCATCTATATATTTTTCATCCCTTGAAGCTTACACCACAGTATTAAGAGATTGCCTGATTTGTGCCCCCCCCCCCTCCCCCTTAAGAAAATTACATAAATTTAAGTTTGCATAGTTATAAAAAGGTATCAATATTTTTTTCAAAAAAGGGGTTTTGTGCCCTCCCCCCCTACACAAATGCTCTCGTACGCCCCTGGGTATACCGGGTGTTCACTGTTCATTGGTACAATGTTCACCATCAATTAACTAGATGAAACACTGCAAGTGGCCCTACATGTAAATATCTGAACTCCACAGTACAATAGGCCGTTATGCATGTTTATTTTTACATGGCATTAGCCATTGCCCATACATGGAATACATGTAAATATTTTCAGTATAATAGGCCATAAATGATCATTTCTACAAAATTTAAAGCCGTCAGTACTCAGTGAATGTTAATTTCCCTTTATAGTACAGGGTGTCCCACGAAACATGAAGGCAGTGCAAGACAACTTGAAAGTTGTCTTTGAACTTTTAATCTATTGATGACATTCAGTTTTCTACCTACACTATACCGAGCTTGAGGGCCTAGTGACATCCCTGAACCTAAATGTTCTAAAAATCTCGCGAAAACAAATTTATCAAAATTAAACAAATGGCGGGATGAGAGCCATTTAAGGAAATAATAGACAAAAAAAATACATTTTCAAAATATATCGACATGGATATAAAAAGATGCGTCTCAAGCCACTGAATACTATATTAATTTTTTGAATTTTGAATTGTTTGATTTATGGACAATAAAACGAGTTTTTATGGGACTCAAATTTTCAATACAAAAACCATTTTTTTGTTTTTAATTGGTTTATTAATTAACAAATCCATTTTAAATCAACTTTTATGAATTTAGTGTCTTATGGCCGATCTTTTGATTGAGGATCAAAAGATCAAAAGAATTTTTTTTCAGTCTTACAAGTGACTCTTTTATCCTTTTTTGGGTAAAAAGGGCTGCGAAAGAAATATAAGCAAGCAATATAAAAAGCAAATAAATCAACCAACCAGACTGTTTATATGTATTAAATGTGTATATATTTGTATATTTTTGATAAAATCATAGTGACCCTAACTCGCTCTGCTCGCACGGAACAGTCAAAAACCTGTTTTTACTCTTCCAGTCATGATGAACTAAGTTGTCCTTAGGTTGAATATTCATTAAAAGTACTGGAACATCCTTTAAACTCCATAAATAAATGTAATTAAATATATATATAGTATTTTCAACTTTTTTCAGTTTAAATACATTTTAGATGTTTAAATATATATTTTTTCCAAGACAAAATGTTTCATGGGTCTAACCCAACCATCATATATTTGAGTTTTTAAACTTCACATTTTATTCAAAAACGAATTATAATACATGTTTTTTATTACAATTTTATTTACAATTTTCAAGCAACTAGTAATTGATACATTATTTTAATTCAGATAGTCATTTTTACCAACATTCTTATTTTCTGTCTTCACGCACCTCTGACCCTGTAGTAAAAGTAAATTCAACCTAAAGTCTGACCGCGTTAACCTTGTTGCACCGGCTAGTCCTATTGAGTGTCTGCTTTATTTACCCAATGTCCGGGGGGCACAGTACAATCTGGGACCGAAAAGGTTGACCCGGCTCGGAAATTCAAATGTTCACTTTATCATAAGCCAAAAATCAGACTAAAAAAATTATTTAAACTTGTTCATGAGCCTTTACAAAATATTCATTGTTTAAACATACATTAGCAAAAATTAGGGGGGGGGGGGCAGAAACTTATTCCTCCTTGATGTTTCACAGAATTTATGTTTATGGATTTCATATGCATTTTTATAAAAAGATTTTCGAAAAATGGGCAGTTAATTGTGGTCGTGTATACTCTGCGTACATATTGAAACCAGTTCTCTTTGGGCGGAATTTGTAAACAAGAATAGATGCATCAGTGTTCGTTTAGTATCCGAGGAGGTTAAAAGCGATAAATTTGATAAATTTGATAATTCACATTATAGTTTCCTATGACCAGAATATTTCATTGATTTTTTTATGTGAAAAATGGATCCCATGTCAGGCTGTAACATTCGTCTTGTGTTTACATTACCGCCCAGAGATAGTACACTGCAGTACTAAAGATGCGTACACTTCTGAAATAACTTTCCTTGCATTACATCCTTGCTTTAATATATTTATATAATAAAGCTCTTCGCTCATATATAATATCTATAATCAATTTATTCTTTAATGAAATCCTAGATCAGCTTTCCGTCAGGTTTATATGTTTGCTGAACCAAATGAACGGCTGGACCAAATTGGGTGAGATCTTTCATGAGGGAACTCATGATTACCCCGGGGCTGGAAGTAACATAGGATAGACTTTAAAAATGTTGGAAAGTTTTGAAACGCCGGGTACTTTGGCTAAAATTTCGTTTAATTTGTTATATAGTAGGCGTACTTCTCGTACTATGTGTACTTCTGCATAGTACTATATATGAATATTTAGTTAATCATTGTAAACCAAAATCAAACTTGGTAACTGAAGAGTGCAGACCAGATCTGCACTGCTTAGTGCATGAAAAACTGGTTATTTTTTGCTTGCAAGCATCAATTTGAATTTTGCAGGAAAAGTACAAGGCCTCTTCTTGAGTGGAATTTATGCAATTTTATTATTACTGAATAGAGGTGGAACCTTTTGAATTAAATGAACTAATTTAATCGGTTTAAATGAGTTGAACTTTTTCCCCCCTTTAGTCATGGTTAGAAGTAAATTTTTTTAACCAAATAGGGAAGAGAATTTGTTCAGCTCATATTAATAAATTTGAACTTTTTTATTGAATACTAGCAGAAGAGCCCGGCGTTGCCCGTGTAAACAAATTTGAGAGAAATTTTTTCTAATTCATTTTAGTGTCCACAAAAAACTTCAGCCCAATCGGTTCAGCCGTTTGGCCGGCTGTACGCAACATATATATGAATGTCTTGTTCTATTAAACAGATTTTCAATTTCAAAAGTTACCCACCCTTAATGATTGAAAGAGGTCTGAAATTTTCCTCTGATTTGTACTTTTAGTTTCATAATTCTTACATAAATGTAAAGAGTTTAGTTACAGTGGAATTTAAATATTATCTGGACATTTCTTGGGCATTATTCCGTAATTTTAACTTAATGGTAGAAGATGGAATTTTGTTCAAGGGTTTTACTTAGCCCCCCCCCCCCACTGGACTTGGAGATGTGAAAAATAAGAAATTAAGAAAAAAAATGTGGGCCTCTGTGCACTGGACTGGATAGTTATACAATAAGCTATACAAAATTGGTCTTCTATAAAGCCGAAACTTCACCATTATAGAAAGCAGTCAAAGCAGTTGATTTCAAGAAGTCAGTTCAGTTGAAATAGTTCATCCTGCATCCTGCAGATAAGGTATTATAATTAATGATCATCTCTATACCCCCCATATAGTTAGGATCAAAATAGAAATGAGTAGAAAATCAATTAAAAGGAAACAATGCGTTTTTAGAACTTGTTTTGTAAATGTGAGAAGGCCTTTAAATCATCCAAAAAGCATGTATAATTATTTTATTACTTGTATTTGGGAGATAAATTTTCTTTACAAATTTTGGAGCTTTTTATAGAGTTTCAATTAAAAGCCTTAAATGAGTCTTTGAAACAAACAAAAAAATTGATTTAAACCGCGACTTAAATTTGAGCCAGGGCTCAAATATGGTTGGTTCCACTTAAGATTGTATTAAATTTTTTAAGATTTAAGCCGGCGCAAATAGGTTGTCAAGTACAATAGATGGCATCAGAAAAATCGACCAACTGCGCACAACGTCATATGTGTCAAATGAAAAAAGAAAGACGACATGTCCTCTAATTAGTTGGTATAATGTCCAAGATTCGGTGAAGATAAATGTCGTCTTTGTAGGAATACGTAAAAAATATTTACAACTCGAAATTAGATAGAATATTTTTACTGTCATTTGGTGGCTTATTTTTTTTCACTTTACATCTATGTAAACTAAATAGTCTGAGGGAGGGGGGGGGGGCGTCCAGGCCCCAGCCCTCTAAGTAGCATTAAAGTAAATATTTCTAGGGTTATTAAAGGTTTACTGTTCAATCTCTAAAGCCAGATAATTTTTTTAAAAATTTAGACTTCTAATTTTTTGAAACACTCATAATTTATACGAATTTTACAAATTGCAGATCCAACATTTTGGCTGCAACAGATAACTTACATAAAATGTACGAAAATTTGTGAATTTATTGGTTATTTATGAACAAATGAATATATGTAAAAAATCAAAATTTGAAAAATCTGGGAAATCGATTTTTTCGGCTCCTGCTCCATAATTAAAGAAGTGATTGTAATATAAAAAGAATAACTGGAAATAACTGAAATATCGAGATTTCTAATATTAACATGATTGTGAACATTTAATCAAAATTGTTGCCTCAGTACCCAATACCCCTACTCCAAATTTTTGTTTGGGACACCCTGTTTATAATATATATCTACATAGACTTTCCAATAATTTCATAATTAAAGCACTTTTGAAATTTTTTATATATTTCGTAGGTGTTCCCAAAAATAGTAAAATACGACATTTGAGAAAAAAATTAAATATCCCTAGAAGACGACATTTCATTAGAAAATTACCGTTTCTTGTTGCCTGTATTTCCCCTGGATCTGGGGGTTTATCCTCGATTAGACCTTTCCAGAGCACTTCTCCAAAGATATCATTAAACATTTCTGAAATGTGTTTTTACGTTATACTTTCTAATTACAATGTTAAAGGGTTATGTACAAAATAAGTTTCAAACCCGTCATTAAATCTATAGAACATTAAATGAAAAAGTGTAAAAACAGAAATAAAGAACACATAAAATTGCACTAATTTCACTAAAAGATAAGCTCTTTAGTCTAAAAATATCACTTTTATTTATAGTTTTGTCAGAAAGAAAATTTGAGTTGACACTTATGACGTTTAAACAGCTGTACTGAAAGTGTACGCATTCTGTGTTGCCGTCTATTGTACTTGACAACCTATTTGAGCCGGCGCACAATTGAAACTGGTTTTTGAGGGATTTGAGACGCAGCTTTAATTCATTAAATTCGGACACTGCATGCAGTGTACGACATTGCAGGGTTTTCATCCTGGAGGAGATCTAATTTCTTACATTTTTATCTAAAACCAGCTTGTTCCTGAATTATATATATCTATTTTTATATAATATACTTTGCTTGTCTTTTGTAACTTGCCATTTCAGGAGTATTTGCAATGAAGCTTCTACTGGTTGTTAGTGTACTGCTAGCTGCTTGTGTAGTATATGGAGATCGTGGTGGTTCATGTCCTGATGCTCTAGCTCCAACCTGTGCTTGTACAGATGGTACTGTAGTTCCAACCAGAAGTAAAGGAAAACCCTGTCCTGAAGGTCGACCTACCTGCCTTTGCACAGATGGATCTGCTCCCATCAAGGAAGAGAGCGGAGAACATATAGAAGATGGAAGCAGGGAAAACCAGAGGGGAAAGAAAAACAGAAGTAGAAGAGATGTAGACAGTGAGAGTGTAGAAAGCGGAGAAAGTGGACAGAGTGGAAGCAGTGAAAGCCAGGAGGGCAAGAGAAGAAGAAGGAGAAGAGACGTGGACAGTGGTAGCAGTGTAGAAAGCGGAGAAAGTGGACAGAGTGGAAGCAGTGAAAGCCAGGAGGGCAAGAGAAGAAGAAGGAGAAGAGACGTGGACAGTGGTAGCCTTGAAAGCGGAGAAAGTGGACAGAGTGGAAGCAGTGAAAGCCAGGAGAGCAAGAGAAGAAGAAGGAGAAGAGATGTAGACAGCGGTAGTGTAGAAAGCGAAGAAAGTGGACAGAGTGGAAGCAGTGAAAGCCAGGAGGGCAAGAGAAGAAGAAGGAGAAGAGATGTGGACAGTGGTAGTGTAGAAAGTGGGCAGAGTGGAAGCAGTGAAAGCCAGGAGGGCAAGAGAAGAAGAAGGAGAAGAGATGCAGACAGTGAGAGTGTAGAAAGTGGAGAAAGTGGGGAGAGTGGAAGCAGTGAAAGCCAGGAGGGCAAGAGAAGAAGAAGGAGAAGAGATGTAGACAGCGAGAGTGTAGAAAGTGTAGAAAGTGGACAGAGTGGAAGCAGTGAAAGTCAGGAGGGAAAGAGAAGGAGAAGAGATGTAGACAGCGGTAGTGTAGAAAGCGGAGAAAGTGGACAGAGTGGAAGCAGTGAAAGCCAAGAGGGCAAGAGAAGAAGAAGGAGAAGAGATGTAGACAGCGAGAGTGTAGAAAGTGGACAGAGTGGAAGCAGTGAAAGTCAGGAGGGAAAAAGAAGGAGAAGAGATGCAGACAGTGGTAGTGTAGAAAGCGGAGAAAGCGGACAGAGCGGAAGCAGTGAAAGCCAGGAGGGCAAGAGAAGAAGAAGGAGAAGAGATGTAGACAGCGAGAGTGTAGAAAGCGGAGAAAGTGGACAGAGTGGAAGCAGTGAAAGTCAGGAGGGCAAAAGAAGAAGAAGGAGAAGAGACGTAGACAGTGGTAGCGTAGAAAGCGGAGAAAGTGGACAGAGTGGAAGCAGTGAAAGTCAAGAGGGAAAGAGGAGAAGAAGAAGATGAGATTATTGGCAAACCATTTACATTGGTATTAATTTGAAGAAAAATTAAATAATAAACTTTTTTTCACTAAAATTGTTTGTAATTTATTGGTTTACAGTTTACAGGTCAAAATTAAGTGATCACAGAGAAAAAGTTGAAAGTTATTTTTCCTCTTCTTGCTTTTTCATAACCTTTTATGCAGATTCTAAATCTAATCATCTGAGGCATTTGTAACAGCAATTCGCTTATGTGTTTCACAAGAAATTATATGTTTTTTAGTTAACAATTATGCATGTGGCATAACAGGCATATTACACTAATTTTGTAGACCATAAATCTAAGTTGAGACCTTTTCCCAAGAAATGTCGTCTTTTTCAGCCCAAGTCCAAACTAAACAATTTCTCCACACCCTACCTCTCTACCCAGAAAAAGGTAAATTGAAACAGTGAAACATTAATTAGTGAAAGATCAAATCCAAAAATAACTTTGCAATCCATAGTAAATTCCACTTAAAAATCTGGGTTTATATTTCAGAAGTGTTTACAAATGTTTTAAACTATTCCATCAAACCCTCAAAACCTTAATCACTCCTTTCTACTTCGACATGGAAAAATAGTAAATTATACTATTAAATATTCAACAACATATTAACATTGTCATTTAATTTTGTTAACATTGTCATTTACTTTTATTAACATTGTCATTTAATTTTAACATTGTCATTTAATTTTGTTAACATTGTCATTTAATTTTATTAACATTGTCATTTACTTTTATTAACATTGTCATTTAAATTTAAAATTCAGTGATGGTGATGGACCAAACCCCTGTAGAGTAAAAAAGTAGATGTTAGTTCCACATTTATTGAAAATATATTTCGGTCTGGGTTGACCCTCGTCAGTTCTTGAGATTGTTTACATTGTCATTTAATTTTAACATTGTCATTTAATTTTAACATTGTCATTTAATTTTCATTAACGTTGTCATTTAATTTTATAAACATTGTCATTTCATTTTCTTAACATTGTCATTTAATTCTATTAACATTGTCAATTAATTTTCCTAACATTGTCATTTAATTTTATTAACATTGTAGGTTTGAAATATACGGATTTCTATGTATGTTTGAGAAATGCTACAGTAAATCAAGAGAGGTCCGTCATCAGGTTACAAAGGAGGTCTACAACAGTATACCCAGTGTATACCCAGTTACAACAAAAACCAAGAATGGAATTTATGAAGTTGTGGAGTTGCTGGAAATAAAACAGTGTCAAAAAAAGGGATAGATAACCCTAATTTTCAACAATCTCCCCCCCCC